GCATCCCTGCCATTCCTAAAGACTGCTGACCCCTGGCTTAATCCCACTGATTAATCTTTCTACCCAGACCCAAATGACCTTTCTGTGCCACAGGCCAGTTAAAGGCAGTACAAATTGGTTCAAAATTGTTTTGTTTTTGTATTATGATCTCTAAAGAGTAGCACTGAAATGCGAAATGGATACCCATGGGGCTATAAAACACCATAGCAACCATGAATATTCACCAAATTAATTTTGATAAAAATAATCAACATCAGGAAGCAATACCTACTACTTCAAAAGTATGCAAAAACAATTAAGATTAAGGTAACTTTGCAATGAACTTATAAAAAATTCTCAATATCAGACACCAACTATTTTCACATTTAAAAAAATTAAAACAAAACATTCTGATACCTGTCTGGCAGTTTTAGCTCATGTCATAATTGCATCATATTTATGGGCTTTTCCAACTGTATTTTGTTTCTTGTGGAATTCAACAAGTTGCTTAAACTGAGACCATTTTAAAGGTCTTATTTCCTTATTTGACTGGGCACAGTGAAGCGCTGCTGAAAATCATCTTCTTGAACTGAAATCAGTCCTGGAAATAGCACTGATTCACTAGTTTCCTGTTGGAGGAACATTTTCATGCAAATACTGCAGAGCCAAATCCGTCCATTTCATCTCTTGCTCTTTTACTGACTCCGTTGTGCCACCATTGTCTTGCTCTGGTTCAGGAAGCTCATTCTGAGAAGACAAAATAGGACAATGCATTCCACGCTTACAAAGCACCCTAAAAGAAACAGGTTACTAACATTTCATTTTGATGAATACGTAGATCCACATGCTATTCATATTGTTCACATCTAAATTTGATGATATTTTTAAATGGAGCAATGTTTTTCAAAAAAATTGTGCTTAGTTTTAGAAGTGAGTTGGCTTTCTGCCTTGGTGGTTTGCTGACTCAGATGCATGCAGGGAGATAGATGATTGTAATGCATGGAAAATGTAAAATAAATAAGTAATGTCACAGGGCAAGTATTTCATCGCTTGTTTGAAATCTTCCTCTGACAGTTAGGCCCAAATGAGTAGCTATACAATTTCAGATTTTTAAATATGGAAATCTGCTGCTTATCTTTTTAATCGTCTGGAAAGTAACAAAATAAATGCTCTCCCTGGAAGCTGAAATCAAAGTGGCTATGTGGGAAAACTGGCAAGCGTTCCCAGCCTGCACTTTCGTGAAAGAAAATAGATGAACACACGACTAGGGAAAATAAGTTATGGTTTGACTGAGGTTTTGTTTTACTTATTAATAGTACCTACTGTGTTTTGCCATAACTGTACAATTTCTAGTGTGCATGTGTTATTCTGAATGAAACTGCCAGAGCAGGATTCTCCCTTCTGAGTCATGGGCTCCCTAGCACGAGACAAGACAAATGGACCGTCTCAAAATCTAAAATTTGTTTCAATTGGGACCCAATCCCAAGCGTACTGGAGTCACTGGAAGCCTTCATGGTTTACTGGAGTTTGGATCAAGCATTAAGGGAAGCAGTAGTTAGCACCATATTTAGGACCCTTCAGTCAGTCCCTTCTTGATGTTGTTGAGTGAAAAAGTCTTCTGAAGAAGCTGTGCTGGATTTTCAACCTGTTCATAGACGATCATATTTCAGGTGACAGGAGGTCCATCCCCAGGCTGCATACTTATGCTATGAACTAAAAATCACTGCTAGTTGGGGAAGTATCAGCATGAAAATAGATCTTGAGCTCACCAAAACAGAGTACCTCAGGAAGGCCTTTACTCAGTTCATTTAAGGCTGTATGAAATCCAAAAATGAATGGGGTTTATGTGGGGAGGGTGTATGTTTGAAGAGTGACAGGATATGCAGGTATCCAATGGAAAGGGGCTGCAAAGATCCTGGTGTACTTCAGAGTTCATGATAGATCAAAAATAGTTGCTAACAGACCTAGGAGAAATCAGTTCCTCCCCCCCACTCCCCTTGCTGGCAGAATGGTAAGAGATTAGAGAAAGGGCAAGTCCTTGGGACTCCCTCACTCCAGCTGAGAGATGAGGAAAGGGGAAGTGTAGTGGCCCTTAGCATCGGATGAAGTTGGGGATAAGGGGAGCCACTTTTTCCACTAGCTCTTGACTGGTGATACTACATGCCTCTGGGGAAAGGGAAAGTTGTCAAAGATAAGATCTATGGGCCAGATCCAGCCCATGGAGCCACATCATCTGGCTCCCATCCCCATGGTGGATCCAGCTCCTGCTCCAACCAGTTCAGAACAGGCACCACTTGTGGCACAGTTCCAGAATGCCAGAGCAAGGGCTGGATCAGCCATGCAGGAAGCAGCAGTGCTCCACTGGATCTCCTGCATGCCAGATCTGGCACTTGCTCTGGCTGGTCAAGGACCTGTGCTGCATGGAACAAGCACCATGGACCGCCCAAAGCAGATGCTGGATCCAACATGTGGTGGGGAGGGTCCAAGACAGTTCACAGGCTGACCCCTGGCAGTTTACCCAGTCCATGAACCAGTCCCATGCCATTCACCTGGCCCACAGGGACAGATAAGTTGGCACCCGTGTCCTGAAGGGAAGCTGCCTTGTGGTGTAGGTACCTTTATGAGCAAAGAGACTACCAATACAGATGTGTTCAAGTGCACAATTTAAGGGGCACCTCTGGCATGGATTGTATTTCAATACTGGGATCACATAACAGATGCTTCCATGTGTCATAACCCAATGATTCTTAGTGCCTCGGTACATTGGAATTTTCCCGCCACATGGAGCTTTCTTTGCGCGGTGGATTTCTCAGCTGCAGAGAGAAATCCCCAGTGCAAAAGAGTTCCCGCCACACGCATGCAAATTAGTGTCCCACTATTGGTCAATTCTAAATTATTCCTACGTGGCGGCTAGCAATTGGCTCGCTAGCCGTACAAAAGGGTAGAGCAGTTTCCGCCCAAGTTGGAGGAGTCCCCAAACATCTCCTG